ATATTTGAATTTTTTTTTGTTTCCTGACTCGAAAGAGTTCTTTTTTCGACTTTATGCAGAGAAGAGAATACTGCCTACTTTACATCCTGCTGCAAAAGATATATGCTTCCGCAGTTTGAGTATCCATTTTTCCATCCAAATCATTGATTCCCCAACTTCTGTTCCAAAGAAGGCAGAAGGCAATTTTTTCTGATACAAACTAATAAAAAAATGTTTCACCTGTTGAAATAATTCGTTCATTCGGGGTTTATTATTCGTTGTATAGGTGACTTTATTTTGAACGAGGAAAGAAAAAAAATCGCTTATTTGCGAAATTCGTTAAATCGGAGTCCGACTGTATATTACTGTTTATTAAGTAAGCGTTTTATGTCTACATATTATTATTTATCAATATAACCTTAAATTTTTTTTCGGAATTTAATCGCTTCACATGTAAGCCCATATTTTTTTTTTTTTTTTACAAACAAACAGTTGTGAGGGGGTACCCCTTGTTATATTAACAGCAGACTAACCCCGATTGTACATCTTAAAATAGTTTAAATAACTTATATCTAGTTGTTTTTAATAGGTTAATATTACTTTCTGTTCCATTTATTTTATGATAAAAATTGTGTTGTGTTGTACTTATGCCACCTGATCGACAGTAACATCAGATCAAGATGTACAAAATTCATCGCGGCTAAGGGCTAGATTGGCCTTAGCTTTGAGCATCATACAATTGACATTACGATTTTACTCGGTTCCACCCCAATTTTGAGGGATAACACTCTGGGGGGGGGGGGGCAGGGGCCTCCTACTTCTATTCTCCTTCGACCCACCTCACGAGGGGACTTGCGGCTCGACGGCTATTTAGAGTCCCCCTATGCAGCAAAGGCACTATACATTTAGAAACATCCATGCCTTCTCCGGTATTCGAGCCCAGGCCCTACGACGCTGCAGTCAGCGTCACTAACCACTACACCGGATGGAAGGCAGATAAAAATTGTAATACTCTCAAGCACAACGCCGTCCCTTACATTATGATGTCGTTTCAAAGGAACGAAAAGTATTGGCGATACAGCCTAGATGACATTCTTTTTTGCGATCAAACTTGCCAATTTGGCGAACCTATGAATAACTCTGGAAATTACTAAAGAAATCTATAACATCATGAACAAGGACGTAAGAGGATTTTTCAAGAAAGCGCTCGAAGGTTGGGGGGGGGGGGGGACCCCGGGGAAAACCTTCTTGGGGCGCCTCGACAAATAATCACCACTTTTTACGACCTATTTATACAAATTATAAATTATGTATAAATAAATTTATTACAGCATCACGAAAAACTTTTTTTATATAATGAGAAATCTTTTGATTTTTGTTGAAAAAAGACAAGAATCTTTACGTACAGCTTACAATTGAAGCATCGTGTGTATGTTTTTATGCAATTTAATTTATATAACAAAGGTGAAATGATCAAAGAGGGAAAAAAAGATTTAAGGAGATTTCGGAAGGAAAAAAAGAACTCACTTTTTAATTCCGTTCTTAATCATCACCGGTTTCCAGACAAGAGACAAAAACAAACATCATTTTCTCCTTCCTTTTCGGAATACGAAAAGAGGAAGCTGGTATCAAAATAAATCCTGGGAAAAAAAATTTCAAAATAAAAATTTAAACTTACATTCACTACACATTTATACAATTCACTTCTAAGAAGCTCACTTTCTAGATATATTTTTATTTACAAATTTAGTTCGTCTGTGCTTTACCTTTTTTCAAAATACTGTATTTAAATTTTAGATTTTGTTTTCATGTTTTCTAAATACAACAAATATACTGATGCTCACTTTGAACAAGTAATATATATAAAACATTCAGTCAATTCTCCTACTTAAGTCAACAAAGAAAAAATTTATTTTAGATACTTTTTTATTAAATAATTACTATTAATACAAATATTTATATACACAAGACCGAATCACACTATTAAGTGGCAAAATAGAAAACGTTTTTCCATTTTCCTTTTTATTTATGGCGGTGGACCATTATTTTTGTTTGTTACTATTTATTCATTCATTAAATTTAATTATTCTAATAAAATAGTAGAGTAAAAAGAAATCACATTCTCTCAGAAATTAGGCCATCCTAGGTGGGATTCGAACCCACAGCCTTTGAATGAGAAATCCAACAAACTATCCATTGTGCTACAGGGACACAACAAACTATTTCCCTTTCTATTTATGCTGTTGGATTATTATTTTTTGTTTGATACTTTGTATTCATTAATTAAATAGAATTCATGAAATAATATTTGAACAAAATGTATTAACAACAATTATCATCCACTACAAGTTAAAAAAAGGGATTTGAACTTGAATGGATGAATAGAAAGTATTTTGTTAACGATTGGAAATTGGAACAAGATATATATATATATATACATAATAAAAATAAATATGAACTATCGGCAGTGTTTCTATCGATTCGTGCGTACAAATGGGGATGCCACTAAGGAACAGCCAAGTAGTGGTCAACCCGTTGAAGTGGTGTAAATGTATAGTGGAATACGGACTCAAGTGTCACATTCGTTACTTAAGTAAGATTTAAAGTTATCATGTCCGTTTGTCGTTAATACCTCAACATGCCGTAACAGGTCTATCCGCGACGCTTCTATTAATCTTCTTGAGTAAAATTATTCTTTTTAACTGTAAGTTGTGTTGAAACTTTCTTCGGTGAAGAAGACTAGATTTAGGTGAATGAGTACTTCTATTTAAACGTTGGCATTAGTGTACGCGATGATGGTCGATGGTTGATAGTTGGCGATTAAAAGCTGATTAAATTATGAACACTATTACGACTGGAGATCGTACACTTCAGCAAGATATTTAAAAAGAATTCAAGCGTAAGAGTGAAGAACGCTCCACGATTCAGTTCAGTAATTTTAATTATATGTTAGTTGCATTAACCCTATGCGATTGCTCTCTTCCGGGTTTGTTAGTAAATGCTTTCCTTGCCTTTAACTGTGTTGGTTGATTTTAAGTGAAGAAAGTAATAAAACTCTGTTTAAAAGTTGCTGATCTTTGCTCAAACCCGCAAACACCAGCAACTCACGATTTGTTACAATGCAAGGAAAAAAGTCTCAAATTTACAAATTAGGTCATTTTTGGTTGACTGATTGTTTATTTACTTCACAATACAAAGCTACTGGCAAGGGACCTCTTAATTTCAATCCACGGTCGTAGCATGTACGACACCTGAACTAACATTCCAAGTTTCCACACTACGCCAGTGCAAGATCACCAGAAAGGATTCACTAATTAACTTGTTCAACGTTTAATACATAGTTGCAAGAAATTAATGTGTGATCTAGAGCGGCGATTACCAACCTGTGGTGCGTGAAAAATTTTTGAAAAAGAAATATATTTTTAACAAGATTCAGTTTCAAAAATGACGAGTAACAAAGTGTATCATAGAATATGGATTATATATACTTTTCTTTAAAAAAAACTTAGCTTCTACTTGCAGCGAGGGTTCTTCTGAATTTCAGGAACTTTTGGCGGTGTGTCTAGCGACGTTTGAAAGTTGGCAACCATAATGGATTGGTGGCAAAACACTTCAGAGTTTGTTCTTTCTTTACATGAAGTTCCTTTTCTCTGATATGGTTTTGTAAATATAGAGTGGTCATTTACAGTCAAATCTCTATACTGCGAATTTTTCTATAGAGCGAACTTTTTCTTAGAACCAAGAATTTTTCACGATTTTCTTCGTAAAACAACCTCCTAATAACGAAGTATATTTTCTTTTTCTCTCTTGTGATTAAATTTTTTTCTCTATTTTTTCAATATTTCTGGACATTTCAAGTTGTTCTCTCTTTTAACGCATTTTATGATAGTTTTAAATCTTGAATTGATTTTATTAGGTGCCTAACTCGCCAAGAGCAATATAACTCTGGGTGTTTCCTCAAAGAAGTGCAACCTTAAACTCTCATTGTCCAGTTCACTTGAAACATCTTCGATAAATGTTAATGTTCTAAAATAATGTATGTTCAAAATAACTTGTATGCTATAAATTAGAAAACGTCCTTAAAATACATTAATTTTGATACAAAATTATTTTCTTAATGTTCAATATACAGTGTGAACCTCGACATTTTTTTTCATTGTTTTACTTTCTTTTTCTTTTTTTGATGGGTAAGATATATAAAATAAATAAATATTCATTTACAAAAAGGTGTGAATAAATATTTTATTTAATATATAATGTTTATCAATTTAAACTTTATTTTATGTGGTTTATAAAGAGTATATTGAAAGATGAACCTCTATATAACGAATTTTCCATTCAACAAACTTTTTTTTGCGGGATTTAACGACTTCGCTCAATAGAGGTCCGACTGTATATTAGTGGTCCGGCCAATGTCGTAACAGAGAATAATAGGGCCGCCCTTGGCGTTAGTCAAGCTTTGGACACCCTAGAATGCGACGCACAAAATTGGTTTCTAATTTCAACAATCGACAGGGTGATTCATATACAGTAGAACGTCGTTTATCCGAAAGCTTATTATCCGGAGCGTCAAACATCCGGACGAGGGTGTTTTTTTTTTCTTCTGTTTTTCAACTACATGTACTGAATATGAATACATTTTGGAACAGTGCAATGCTCAACAGTTATTTCGCGTGAGGCCAAAAAACGGGAAAACCCAAGGTCAGGGATAGTTGGGGAATTTCAATGGTGGTAAACATCTACGCGGATTTGAAAAACATCTGGATTGCATGCGATGCAGAAGATGTGGACTTCAAATGCTAAATGATGACGAGATTGTGACTTCCGTGCAAGAAGAATACGACCCTGTCGACGATGAAACGGATGAAGACGAGAACAACAAAGAAAATAGCTAGAGTCCATCAAAGCTGACGCATTTTCTGAGTTAGAGACAGCCATGGAGTGGTATGAAAAACAATTAAAGTGCTGTCCTATTCAACTACTGCTTCTCAAGAGAATCGGAGACCTTGCAGCGAAAAAACGAAGGTTTACAATGGTACTGCGAAAAAAAAGTGATTATTTTCCACAATAAAGGTAAAATTGCGACATTTTGCACCTATTTTGCTTTTCCTTCAAGCATTTTTCCCGCATGGGATGATTTTCAATATTCGCATAGTGTCCGGTTTCATATACTGCAAGGATCGCATTCGGTTTTCGGTTATCCGAATAATCGCGTATCCGAACGGTGTCCGGTCCCAATTGATACGGATAAACGACGTTCTACTGTAGATGTATTAACTTTCGAGATGCTGTAAAACAGCAACAATCAAATACAAGCACCACCTCAGGGAACCGTAAGGTAGCTGTACTTTTAAAAGTTTGTGCCTCGCCCCTGATGGAAGTGAAGTAGGTAATAGCATGGGTGTCATGTGACTAGTCAGTCAAAATGGCGGTGTTTGCAGTGGAGCCCCTTTTTTGGATATGTTAACTGTTTTATTGATGATACAGTTGCAGGGCAACTTTGGCAACTTCTTCCAACCACATTACTGGTCGGTCAGTACAGTGCCGGTTTATCCATTGGGTGCTTGAGGCGGCCACCCAGGGGCACAGAAAGACCCAAAATGGCCCGGATAAGATGGACTTAAACAGGTTTTCTGGTTATGAATTTCGATCCTCTAGTGCCAAGGGGCCGGAAGATCTTCTGCACCAAGGGCCCGAAGTGAGCTTAAATCAACACTGGGTCAACGTGCGAGATTACCTCGATGAACATCTTCCTCACAGATGAATTGGACGAGTCGCGGACTACAACATGCCACTTTCTCAATGACCACCCAGAAGTCCTGACATTACTTGTGATTTCTTCCAGTAGGGCTACGTATAGGACTTCCTGTTGATCTAACGAAGCTGAAACAGCGTATCGCAACCACTATCGATGGATTCGATTCAGATATCTTAACACGCGTTTGGGCGAAAATGTGGATAACTGGTTTTAATGTGTGTCTTCAGGTACGTTGTTCGTGCTCTGCTTCACTACACATATTTTTTACACTAAAATTTTTCAACACAGGTAGGAATGAGAAAAAGAATTTTATTCGAGCGTGCTCCATAGGCTCTTACTCTCACGTAGTTTACACATACTCGAACTCAACACACACTAGCGCCCTCTCGCGACAAATATTCGCTTGTTACTGTGGGTGTCACAAGAATTCAATACTGAGCATACGTCTCAAGACTCTTTGAGGCCCTGGGCCCAGAGAAATCTTAAGAGTTTTGAGGCTCTGGGCCCCTATACAAAAGTAGGCCCTACCTGAGATCTTTAAAAGTAGTCAGTATATATAGCAGTGGTAGCCAAACTTTTTGCCCTCACGGACCAGTAAATTCAAAAATTAAATCCCTCGGACCACTAATAGGATTTTTTAAGTGTAAATATATTTATAAAAAAATTGTACTCTAAGAACTCATAAAATGTACCTAGTCAGTAAAATGAAACTATTAATTAAAACCAAATTATGAAAGCTTTATTAATAAACTATAATAAAATGAACGCCACCCCACCCAGTATGGTGGTTATGACACTCGGCTTGTAATCGAGTGGGTTCGGGTTAGAATCCCGAGTAAGGCATGGATGTATCTTTGGGAAAAGAAATCGGGCTTTCGCCTGAAATGGATTCCCGTCTCGAAAGGAAAGCAGCGCACCCCTTCTGTTCTTTGCTGGGATCATCGTTTGTAATAAAATTTCTATTTTTCTATTTATCTATCTTTCGTATGTATCCCAGTAATAAACACACGACAACAACAATAAAAACTGTTAAAACAAAACAATTAAAAAATGGTTGAAGTATATCAAACTTGTTGCATTATACATTCCTGGTATAATGAATGTTCCTGCTTACTTGAAATAAGTTTATAGATATCTGGATCCAATGTTGTTACTGCAAGATGGAGAACTGCATTTATTTCAAGCTGAGAGCAGTGCATTGTTCGAAAAGGTCTTTTCACATAAATAAGTTGTGCAGAGTTGAATCAGAATTTTCATCGCCTGTTCACTAAAAGACTATTCACTTTTTATGGAAAGCCAAAACTGAGATCTTGATAAGAATGAAAATGAAATTTAAAATTTAGAGTTTCGTCAGGTCGATGAGGCTTTCTTTTAGATACATGCTTAAAATATTATCCTGAATTTTCGCTGCCCATGGATCTATTACCCACGTATAACAATACAGCTACCTCAG